AATTAGTCCTCAAAATTTCATGTAAATATACAACACATAGATCATGTACAAGTCCCAATGTTTATACAAAATATAGATGCCTATATATGCAAATGTGATCTTCCTTAAAGCTCTCAAAATCTTCATCTCCAATGGCCCGCTTCACGCCTCCTCTCGATCATTTCCTACGATAGAAACAACTATCGCTAAGCATATAGCTTAGTGGTGTAAAAACTATAGGTTCGGAGCCATCAGATTTACCAAGTTAACTTTCTCAAGTCATGGGCAGCACCATTGAAACATAATAATTAAATCAAGTAAACAATATAATAAGAGTATCAAGTTCGATATTTAAAGATCCAAATGTCAAAAACGCTCATAGCACCAATTTCCAAAAGATTCAATAACAAGGCTCGCCCAATATATACATCATGTCTTCACACCAAGCACAAACAGGTATCAAGAAGGGCCGATACCCTGTATCAAGAAGGGTCAACGCCCAATAATCAAGAGAACCAAGAACCATATTAAAAATGGTTTTCTAGTTCGTACTTAAAATGGACAACTTCCATTCTTAAGACAGACTAAAAATCTAGAGTCAAGATGGCAAATGATCTGAAACAAGAGGCATGCCAATAGTGACAAAGTCATAGCCACAAGAAAGACAAGGTCCCAACAAGAGTGCCAGGTGATCAAACAATCCGTACAAGTGGGCGAGTTACACAAGCGGCTTTAACATCTTAAAGGATACCAACACGACGATGCAAAGTGACAAGAGGTAACCAAGGTACCAAGATCTACTTTCAGATATACCAGTAGTTAAAAGAGTGCAAGTACAAATGTATACACAAACCTCAGTGCTTTAGCAAAGAAACAGTCCAACACAACTTCACCAGTTCAGACCGTAGACCAATCAACGTTTCAAGGTCCTCAACTTGTTCGCGAGTATATACAACCTTAAAAATATAATTAAATAACTTTTTTAAATCCTAGAAGCTCAATAATGTTGATGTAAAATAGGATTATCATCACAAGTAAGCTTAGCCTATACAAATACGACTATGCTCCCAAACAGTGATTCTGGCCAGCCTAGTACCTCATGTCGCAATTTAGATTTGAAAAGGAAAACGGCAAAAATAGACTTTCTAACCTTCATGAAAGATGTAGATACATCTCTTAGAGTTGCAAACAAACAAGAATCACCGCAAAATATATTTTGTACAACAAGATATATTCAAAACACTAACAGTTGTTCATACAAGATCTGAAAGTTCATTAGAAAGAATGTGGCGATCCTGCAACATGAGAGCTTTTGTAAGTTAGTGTCTGCTGCTTTTACTTGGGAACGACTTGATAAAGAAGAAGCTAGTAGAAATGAAAATAAATTCTGAAAGCCTAGAACAGATTTTAGGGGTCCATCAAAAAGGGGATGGTATGTTGAGTAGTAAAGTTGTTGAGAAGTGTTGGTATCCTTATCAAAGAGAAGGGTGTGTCTCGAATCCCAGCCAAAAAGACCAAGTTTTTCTCTTGTGATTTTGAAGAACAAATGGTTAGATAATGTTCTAAGGTTCTTAGACCTCAGGGGAAACGAATTTCACTAGAGGAGGTGTCAAAATAAAGTCTCAAGAGTGATGTTTATCACAATGCACATCTGTCTCCAAAAGGTGGCTGCCCAAATAGTTGTGTGCTGCCCAAATGCATACATGTATACACCTATATATATATATATATCCCTCACCTCCTTTTAAAGTTATACATAATTCTAATTAGAATATTACGAAAATACTCCAATACAATACCTTAAATTACGATCACAATTTATGTTAAGCAAGTTTTCAATTATCACAAAATTTCAGGTTCCCAAAATGAGAATAAAACATATTGTAGTAATTAAGCAACGGTAAATCGACATGCGACTCTTGATTAGTATTTAGGGGTGTTACAGTTGAAGTGAGATTTTTTTATAAAAAATATTAAGAAAATATATATTTTGAAAAATATATATTGGAGGGTGGGGGGAGGGAAGGTGGTGAGTGGGATAATAAAAATGTTTTAAATGTTATTTTTTAAATAAATTAATTTCTTTGTTTTGGGGATAGTGATACTTTAATATTTTACTTTCAACTAATACTAATAGTTTATTATTTAATTTTATTTTTTATCAAGTTGAATGTTTTATCCATGTGAAATGTCATGTAACAAGATTTTTTAAATAAAAGAGCGAGTGTATTACATATGCTACTGCGGTATGTTTATCAACCTAATAAGTGACTTTAGCTATGAAACTCACACTTTCAATAGTCTAGGTACAAAACTAAAAAAAATAAAAAATTTAGATGTGTTTTTGATATTTCACTCAATGTTTATTGAACTTTTTTCCTTTATTAAAAGACTCATAATACAAAATTATCATTTACTATATTCCTTTTATATTTATCATTTAAGTATCATTCTAATATTTAGTACTACAAAATTAATTAAAGATATAGTCATTAAATTTTTACTTATTTATAATATGTTAGAACTTGTATTATCTAAAATATTACATTGACTAAAATTTCACTTCTTAAATCTTTCTTTATTTAAACTATATTAGTATTAAGACTTTGAAATCAATATTTTATATTATATAAATTTTATTTAAATTATGAAAAATAAAATTAATTAATTAATTAACTAAAAATTAAAAATATTTAAAAAGTTCATTTCTTTAAAATACTACTTTTTAATCTTTTTTAGTATGAAAATTTTTTCATCTAGATAGATATGACATTTATTTTAGGGATAATGGTCTGAAAAATACCCCACCTTTGGTAGGATTTGTTGTTGCGATACTAAACTTTCATGAGGACCTATTACCTCCCTAGACTATTTAAACATATATTTTTGCCCACGTGGACATAAAAAATAATGCAAAATTATAAATAGTAATGTGTCCACGTGGGCACATATATACCTTTAAAATACACTATTAAATAGTTCAGGGGGTAAAAAATACGGTATTAAATAGTCTAGGGAGGTAATAGGTCCTTGTGAAAGTTTAGTATTGCAATAGCAAATCCGACCAAAGTTGGGGTATTTTTCAGACCCTTATCCCTTTATTTTAATATCAATTGTTATTTTTTCATGATTTCGTTCTTCTCATATATAATTTTATGGCTTAAACCACCAGTGGCCCCCTAAAATTGGCACAGTGTTTATTTAGACATTTTAATTTGGCGATGTTCATTTTAGACATTTCATGTAGAGTCTCAGTGTATCATTTTGACATTTTTTTTTATTACATGGCATAATGACTATGATACCCTCATTGATCGGCGCGTGAAATGTTTCTTTAGTCAATTTTAAATTATTTTTTTCTTCTTCTTTTTCATTTTCTGCCATCAATTTGTCCAAGCTAAATTTCATCCTTTGTGAATGAAGATTTCAGCAAAACAAAGGAAAATGTTTTAAATTTTAAGAATAAACCTATTTCAAATTTAAATATTAAAATATTCATGAAATTCTTTCTTGGAAGAATTTAATATTTGCAAGGAAGTGAATTCATGAAGATTAATAAAAGTCTATCTTGATAATTTGCATGAAAGTGAATTTATCCGTTTGGCCATAGATTTTCCAAATAAACTATGGGAAGAAATTTGGCAAATAGTGTTTGTCCATACAATTTACCATTATTTGGCAAATATTTTTGACAAATAACCCAAATTTTCAAATACTAGAAAAAAGTAGTATTTGGGCTAAATCTCATTATTTGGGAACTTTTAATAATTCAAATTCTACACTAATTTTTTATCTTTTACAAGAATACCCTCTATAGTAATTATTTGCGTTGTTTTACATAATTTTTTACGTGAACATCAAGTAGTGATGGAATATTCAGTAAATATGAAAGTGATGATATGGTTGTTGATGAAAATGATAACAATCCGCTTAGGGTAACAAAGTCATGTGTTATGTAATACAAACATATGGTTAGTTTTGATAGTTTTTAAAACTTATGTGTAAAATCATATTTCTTAAAAAGGTGAAATATATTTCCAAATAATATGACCAACACATGGTGAAATTCCATTCAAATTTTTACCCAAATAATATTTGCCAAAAATATTTGGAAATCTATGGCCAAACGCTAGCTTAAACCAGGCCAGAAAAAATCTTTGAACCAGCCAAAAATCTTTCATTAACTATCAAGCTACTGAATTGGCAAAAAAGAAGGAAGAAAGTGATTACGATATTATTTTTTTTGGTAAAATAAAAAATTTCACTAAGTTGCGCATATTTAGTGAAGATTTGATGTGCATGTAGACGTTTCTACAAAAAAGGATTAGAGGTTTCTGCAAAAAGGATAGAAGCATTTGGAGAAGAATTTCTTTTATTAGTTTAAATTTTATTTTATTTTGTAATTATTTGGGCAAAAATATCATGGATCATTAATTCTTTGGCTAGTTTTTATTTTTACTCAAAATTAATTAGTACTTAAAAATTATTTTTGACACAAATTATAAATGTTGTTGTTTAATTTGTCACTTTACATATCATTCTCGAGGGTAACATACACACATTATATATTTTTACTAATATTAAAAACATATATCAAATTAATACAATGAGATTAGACATGAGGGATTTAAAATGAACAAACTCATTGGTGCCAACTTTAGAGGGCCACCAATAAATTCTGCCTAATTTTATTAATTAATCGTGAGACAGTTGTAATGCTCGTATACAAATTAGAGGCAAACCCAGTACTTTTTAGGAAAGTGGCCGTTGTAATGTTGGTAATTAGACAGATAATTAGTACTAATACAAAGTATTAACCAAATATAGAGATGAGTGAAGAAAACTAGCCGTTGGAGTCACCACTGTGAATAGGAAAATAGGTCATTTTCTGAAAACCATAACGTTCCAATCTTATCAGTTATCATCTTCTATAACCCTTTTACATTTCTCCATTCTGCAAAATTGAAACAAAGACATCTTCTTTTGGTTTTAAGAACCCAGTAAATTAGTGAAGAAATAGTTGACGAAAGAGGGTTTTTTTCCCCTGTTTTTATAGGTAAAAGAAATGGATGAATCTTCTTCTTCTTCTTCAGCTTGTCTGGTACGATCCTTTTCTCAGCCTTCTCAAGAACGTACTGAGGTAATATCATCTTTTTTCTTAATTTTGAGCAAATGGGTCTCCGCAAATTGGATTATTTTATGCCCTTTTGCCTAAATTCAAAGTTTACTTCTTTCTTTTGTTACAATCTTCTCTTTTTTTCGTATTTGAGCTAATGGGTATTTGATGGTTTTCTACTGTTTCATAATTGAGTTATGGGTTTGTTTAAATGCAATTTTTCCTATAAGGGTTTATGAATTTGTTTACTGCCGAGTGGGGATTTTGAGGATATAAGCAGTAGGTTTTACTTTCCCTTCTGTGATTTTTGCATCTGCAATACAGACGCTATCTATTTACTGGTCAAAATGGAATTAGGGGATTCATACTGTCAATTCCAACTTGTTTGGCATTGAGGTGTAGTTGTTGTTCTTGTCATTGGTGGTGTTAGCGTCAAGTCTTTATGTTCTCTTTGGTCCCTAGAAGTAGAGCATATCTTTTTGTGTTTTGCTCCAGCAGAAGCATAGTTGCTGTTTGCTTTAGGATTGTGGTGTTTTTCATAGTTTATGAGTTATTTAAACTGACTTAGTCATGGAAGTAGATCTCAATTGTTGTTTTCCGTAAGCATGTTGGGGAATATGAATTTATGGATTGGAAAATGATTGAGCTATGGGGTAAGTTTCTCATTTAGAAGCTGAGCTGGAAACTTTCTCATTACAGGGAGACCCTTTATTACGTGCATTATCAACATCAGTATCATTTGGAAGATTTATGTCTGAATCGCTGGACTGGGAGAAGTGGTCCTCATTTACTCATAATCGGTATCTTGAGGAAGTTGGGAAGTATGCAAAGCCTGGGTCAGTTGCTGAGAAGAAAGCTTACTTCGAGGCTCAACACAGAAAAGCAGCTGCTAAAAAAGCTGCATTGTTGCTAGAGCAACAAAATGCAGCAGTTGATGAGTCATCTAATCTGAATGTGACTAATCAAAACAATGATCATTCCACAGTGAACTCTGAATTGACAGAGCCTAGCAGTTGTGTGGGTATTGAAGAAACACAAAGAGAAGAGGGAGAGTTGAATGTGACAACTCAAATTATTGATATGGAATCAGAGCTCACTGAGAATGGCAGCTATGAGGGCACTGAGGAAGCACTGGGAGATCAGGGTCATTTGAATGTGACAAATCCAAGTGTTGATAATTGCACAATGCTCTTTCAGTTGCCAGAGAATAGCAGCCATATGGGTATTGAAGAAGTGCAGGGAAATGAGGGGGATAATACAACAACATGTGGCAGCTACCCTATTCATGAAGAAATTAACTTGGAAACTACTGGAACTGAAAACTCTATCGAACAATCTTATCCAGTAGAGAATGAACTCAAGTCACTGAATCAGCCGGAAAATGTTGTTGTTGAGGTAAGTGAGAATGTAGCGCAACTGAAGGAGAAGACGCAAACAAAGGTTTGTACCATTACCTGATTTATTATTCTCTCTTTGTTGCTAAAGTGAGATTCTTGCTTTTTTCTAATTGAACATGCTTCAATTATGCAGAATGCCGCTATGGTGGGAGACACCGTGCTGTCAATGAAGAAGAAACCAAAGAAACCATTAACCTTAACGACTAGATTGACAACTAAGAATGAATCATCAAAGTTCAAATCTCAAGTCAAACTGGTGACAGCTCTGCAACCTATAGTGACTGATAAATCTGCTCCAACTAGTAGAAACAACGGAAAAGTCATGACTGACAAAAAGAAGTCAAATCCAAAATCTCGTCAGATGTCAATCAAGTTTTTTTCTCACAGAGAGGAAACAAAGAAACCAATGTCTCCTATTCTTGAGAAGATAGTGAATTCAAGATTTGTAAGATCCATCACCAAAACATCTAGAGACAGCAAAATTCAACAGACTTCAACTCTGGTGCATTAATTGATCTTTGTACTTAATTTCTCCTGCATAGGTTGCTTTTCTGTTATCAACTTAACTCTTTTCTGCCAAATGCAGGCATCGGTGAGTGGGATATCAAAGTGTCCTTCTGAAGCCCCTCAACGGGCAAATAAAAGGTAAATGTATTGTACTGTTTTAGAACTGAAAGAGCATATTCATGAAGACAAGACAGAGCCTTCAAATGTTTTTCCAGAAGCTGACTTTCTTTATTGATGAAGCTCTCAATGTGAATCAGTTATCTAAACATTTTACTGAATGGAACAAGCTCTTTGCTTGCAGGGATAGAACGATGCTTGACCACCAATCATTGTGTAGAAGCAGGAAAGAAGAGGGTGAATCGTTATTCCAATCAGGGTGAGATCTTATGGCATCTCATATTTTGTTTGGGAATATGTGGTTGTTAATTTTAGTTTGATAAGGACTTTCTACTATCTATGGAGGAAAGAATGTTAAGTGAGATTTGTGTTGTTTATATGCATGGTCTACAAGCTGTGACTTTAATAAAGGTTCCAGTTTTCAATATACACCTTTCTGCAATATGCAATGTATTAGTTCTTAAGTGAAGCAAGTAGAGGCAAATAAAAGGTCATGGTTTGTCTTACAAGTTAGTTAGGACATTTTGACTCAAGCTTTTTACCTTTTGGAGCAGAAATCTCAAATCAATAAACAAGCATGGAAATGTAGCATGTTCTTCCCCTACTGTATTTTCTCCGTTCAGCTTAAGGAGTGAAGAAAGAGCAGCAAAGCGAAGAGAGGTACATGAAGAGCAAATCAACATCTATGTTTCTGTTCCTTTTTTCATCTGTTGAATCTGATTATTCACTTGTAATCTGTTGCACTTCAGTTCTTTCAGAAGCTAGAACAAAAACTGAACACAAAGGAGGCAGAAGAAGAGCAGCAACAAGCAAAACCAAAGGTTATTCCCATCACTTCATTTCTAGAGGCTATATATGTACTCAGATCGATAATATATGTACTCAGATCGATAAGACTACACATTTGTTAACTAATGGGCGGAATTGTTCTCATGTGCTTGAGCATAGAAGAAATTGAATTTCTTTTTTAAGGGAGTTGATTTCTCATTTTACAGGCAAACACCACCAGTAGTTCTAAAGTGCTTATATCAAGAGCTAAACCAAATCCAAGAATTCATCATGGAAGAGAATCATCTAGTAATCAAATGAAGAAGGTAATTTAGCAACAACATTGTTGGCGGAACTGGTATCATGTTCATGAACAGGGAAGAAGATTAAATTTCACTTGGCTGTATACTAAGGAAGGAGAGTTGTCTCGTCTTGCAGGGAAAAGCCACCAGTAGTTCTAAAGTGCTTATATCAGGAGCTAAACCAGATCCAAGCATTCGTCAGGAAAGAGAATCATATAGTAATCGAATGAAGATGGTACTATTCTCTTTTCCCTTGATGAGCTAGTTGTTACCATTAACAATAATCATGTTATGAGCAGGAAAGAAGAATGAATTTTATTTGGCACTCATTGGCAGTATACTTATGTAGGAGAATTGTCTCGTTTTGTAGGAGAAAACCACTAGTAGTTCCAAAGTGCTTACAGCAAGAGCTAAACCAAATACAAGCATTCATCAGGAAAGAGAATTATCAAGTAATCAGATGAAGAAGGTACTCTTCTCTTTTCCATTGACAAGCTAGCTGTTGCCCTTAGTTGCGAGGTTGTTGAATCAATGAGGCTGAATCGCTCTAATGTGCCAAAACAGGGAAGAAGATTTAATTTATTTTGTTTGTGTTAGAATGTCTAATTGAAATGTACATGTCTAGAGCCATACATGTCTAGAGCCATACATGTCTAGGTTGATTGTACTGGAATATGGAAAATCATACCAAATTTATACATAGCCTAAGATTCGTATGTAAGGAGCAGCACCTCTTGTACATTATTAATCAAGTCAATGAGAATTCTATTTCCACTGGTATCAGAGCTTCTAAGATCTTGGTAGAGACTTAAATTGCTGTCCACAGGCAGTACCGGCCTACATTATACTGCATGCTGAGCCAATGCAATCTTCTTTTGTTCTTCCTTTTGGTGCCCGAAGATGCTCCTCTATCCGGCAACCGGTGGTCCAATCTCTGGATGACCGTTAAGGCACCGCTCCTCTAGGATCATTTAACCACCCTTCTCTTTATGGCGATGATGTTATTTTACTTTTTATGTGACCAACCAGTTCCTCTAAATCTTGAATTCTTGTCATTGTTCTACTATTTCAAGTTGAGCGATAATATTTCTGCATATTTGCAACATGGGTATCTCTTTCTGTGAGTAATACAAGAAGCACTTTTGTTTGTCGGGTAGTTTTCCAACGCCTTCCGAATGAAAAGAATTCCAAGTCTGTTCTTTTCTTTTTAGTGATTGCAAGATTTCAGTGTCAATTGTGTGTTTTCAAAATAAGCAAACTCAAGTGATTGCAAGATTTCAGTGTCAATTGTGTGTTTTCAAAATAAGCAAACTCAACTTGATTTTTTCTCTTTGAGTTTGAAGAGAACATGTTAGAATTCAGTGTCAATTACTTTGTGTGTTTTCAAAATAAGCAAACTCAACTTGATTTTTTCTCTTTGAGTTTGAAGAGAACATGTTAGAATGTCAAGTGAATATATTTCTATATACATACACGTCTAGATTCATTGTTCTTGAATAGAGAAAATCGTACAGAATTCTTACATAGCCTCAGATCAAATCAATGAGAAGTTCTTCTATTTTCACAACAATACGCTGGGTATGTTGTTGTTGTTGTTGTAATAATATGCTAAGGAGAGGTGTCTCATTTTGCAGGAAAAAGCCACTACTAGTTCTAAAGTACTTACAACAGCTAAACCAAATGTGATTCATCAATCAAGAGCTGAATCAAATACAAGCATTCATCGTGAAGGAGAATCATCAAATATTGCGCTTAATCATCAATCAAGAGATGAATTAAATGCAAGCATTCATCGTGAAAGAGAATCATCAAATATTGGGCTGAATCATCAATCAAGAGATGAATTAAATGCAAGCATTCATCGTGAAAGAGAATCATTAAGTAATCAAATGAAGAAGGTACTTTCTGTTTCCATTGATAAAAGTAGATATTACCATATGTAATTGATAGAGATTTGCTTCCTATTAGACGTGTCACTTGCTGAAGTTCAATGTGAAGGACACTAGATAAAGTTCTTGTATGCTGCTAAATAAATGGTTCTCACCTTTATCTATTTTTGTGGCTTGCAGATGCCGCGACAACCTTGCTCACCTAAATACAGTGGGAAGCCAGTGCCAGAAGTCCTAGACATCAAACCTCGACAGCCTTGGAGGCTTTCAGGGAAGCCTGAGGGAACAAAAGATGTTAAAAGGGAAAACAACCTTCCAAGGCTTTCAGGGAAGACTGAGGAATCAAAAGATGCTAAGAGGGAAAACAACCTTCCAAATCATTTCCAAGTGAAAGGTAGATCAGACAATCCCAAGTCATTTATCTGTGAGAGTATGTTGGAAAATGCTTCTCCAAATATCCAAGTTTAAGACAGACTGCTGCTGAGATCCATAAAGAGAGCATTTTCCCAACATTTAACGAAATGCTGCTGCTTTTCAGTTTTGAAGTTTCAGGGGCCACAAATGTGTGCATACAATACAGGCTGTTAAGACATTGCTTCAAATGTATAATACAATAGGGCGTCTAGTTTGTGTTTTCTACTCGAGTGGTGAAATTCTGCATGTTTCCGTATATCAATATTTCTTATTGACACAACAACGGAATGTATTATATGAACTTTTGGGTCTTGTCTGAATTTGTAAACTTCAACGATATTCCTATATATGCAACTAGTACAGAATAATATTTCTCCCAAGAGTTTGTGACAGAACCAAACTCCAGCAGTTTCCTTTGAAATCTTGTAAAAGCATCATGGTAAGTCATATATGCAAGCATTGATTTTCTGGAGAGTTAGTGAAACAGTTTCCCTTTCAGATCTGTAGTAACAATTTGCAAAAGTCCCTTTTTGGTAATATAACAATTTTCATAGGGATTACTAGTATTGAAGCTTGATAGTTGCAACTCATGGCCACACAAGGGTTGAGCACATTTGCATGTTAGCCCTTACTAAATCTACTTGCAGATAATTAAGCATGCTTTGACTAGTAAGTTGTTCAAGAAGCTTACTTATTGTGCTAAAAATTTACCAATGCACTCAAATACATTTTTGTGAAGATGATGATCTTTCACCAAAGTCAAGCACATTTGCATGGCCACACAAGGGTTGAGCACATTTGCATGTTAGCCCTTACTATATCTACTTGCAGATAATTAAGCATGCTTTGACTAGTAAGTTGTTCAAGAAGCTTACTTATTGTGCTAAAAATTTACCAATGCACTCAAATACATTTTTGTGAAGATGATGATCTTTCACCAAAGTCAAGCTAAGCTACCCCCTACCCCCCCCCCCCTCCACCCCATGAGAAGCTATGCATCACATTACCAGTTGTTGATGAGCAATGCAATGCATATATTGTCTACCATCTAAAGCTTCCCATGGGATAAAGGTTAGACTATGAACAGACCTTGGTCCATCACATTACCTTCCAATGAATCAATTGGATACTCATAATCAAACCTCAATGTATCATACAAGTATGTTGGAACTCCAGAAATGGGTTGTGGATCATTGTAGTCAAATTGTTCAATGTTCGGAAGACCATTATTAGCTAGAAAACATTCCCCTTGAACAGAAGCACCAAAAATCTCCTCACCTACAGATGCAACAATTGAACCACTTCTCAAAGTTAGATTTCCCAGGCTTGATTGTGGACCATTGACTACATTGTGACTTGTCGCTCTCCATGTAGTACTTGGCATTTGCTCAAGAGTATGAAAATTTGTTTGTTGATGGCTCACAGGTTGAAACAAGTTAGCATTACTTTCTACTGGAGAAAACTTTCCTACTCCATTTTTGGTCTTGAAGAAAGAAGGTTTATTTCTTGTATCTGGATGTCTGCCCCTTTCTTCATGAGAAGGTATATGGTTGACAAAACAAGTCACTTGTGTGCGATCAACTGGGATTTGATGAGAAACCACAGGCAGTGGTTGGTGACTTAACCCATTAGCTGACTGGAAATGTGGTTTAAAGTCTTGCTGCTTGTATTGAGGTTGTGGAGCTTCTCCAGTAGAGCAATATGGAGTGGGTACCTTAGAACTTTTTCCATCAGTATTGACCAAATCCTTGAGGCCTATCTTTGAACCAGCAGTCTGAGAATCAAAGTTATCTTCAATCACAGACTTCGGCTCAGCCGCTGGCACTGAAACAACACCCTTTACCTTGCTCTCATATATGTTGGATTTCCCATTTTGAACAATAGCTTTGTCTCCAGAAACACAAACATACTTGTCATTTGTAACATCAGTGCACACATCCACTGGATTCTGAAGGCTGAGACTCGAACAAATTTCTTTAGAAGAAACATCCGGATGCTTCATCCCACCAAATGAGTCTTTAGCTTCATCTTCTTTCTGCAACCTAGTCAAGTAGAGGCGATACTTCTGCAAGAAAATGATATTGTTATGAGAACTTTTTCACCATTCAATTTATGAAACTTCAACTTTTCAAAAGCAGAGAAGACCATTCACATCAATATAGTAAAGGAGATACTTTTTCTTGAGGCTTCAAACTACTAGTCATTAAGACGACTATGAATGAAAAGTAAGGAAATCCTTTTCTTGACGTGGCATGCATGTATTATACCTAACCTTTTAACTTGATTTCAATCTCAATAAAGCCCAAACTTTTCTTTTTTAGCTCAAAATAATGTGAATATACTTTCCATCTTTTCTTTTATTTATCTCTAATCACCACAAAATATGGATCTAAAGGCAGGTACCTTTTCACTATCTGGATCTGATATTAGGTAGGAGGCAACTTGCAAGAAACAGCTTAACCAAATCTGTTAGCAAGTGAGTATATGTTGGCAACACATGCCAATATCCCTAATAAGATGCACAAGTTGTAAGAATATTTACCTGTAAGTGGCTAGCAACATTTTCTCTAGTCAACCATGGGACACCCATCAAATCAAGAATCTTCTTGGGACCAACTTCTGCCATGCATAAAAAAACATTATCACAATATCTCAAAAGAATAATTACTAGAAATATGCATAGGAACTTTGAAGATGAAGTGTAACATGAGAGTAAAAAGAAATTTTAATGAACTTACTGTCAAATCCAATATGGTTTACAGCTTTGACAAATTTCTGATGAAGATCTACAGTCCAAACTACTCTGGCTTTCTTCATGGAAGAAGAATCAACAAATCTTGAATCGGACATTTCTATTTCATCATGCTTATTCTCAAAATCTTTTCTTTTCTTTCCTGAAAGGATTTCAGCTCCATTAAGCATCCACACTTCATCATATTGGTCCAATTCATGATTTCCAACATCCCTTGCCTCCTGCATCTTTTTTCTGAGTACATGCTGCCATATGTTTCTAAGTTCTTTCATCCGTATAGGCTTTAAAAGATAATCGCATGCACCATGTTGAACACCCTTCATCACCCTGCTTGTTTCACCATCCACAGACATCACTGGAAAGGTATTTTGAAAAGTCAGTGCAATTGTAATGGACAAAAGTGAAGTAGCCAATTAGTATTAGTCCAGAAAAAAACTTAGTAACCCTTAAATCAAAGAGAACTGACTAATGACAGGAAGATCCATCTCAAGTCCAACATGCTCCAAAAGCTTAAATCCATCCATGTCAGGCATGTTAACATCACTGATCACAATGTCAAATCCATCCTTTCTCTCTCGGAGCACATGCAAAGCCTCTCGTGCTAGACCACATGTCGTCACTGAAAGAAACCAGTAATAAGGTTTTCAGAAACCCAAGCAACTATAAAAATTAGAGATAAATGGATCCACTTTACGCTAACAAGTAGTCATTGATATCTTTGTTGTGCATCACACGTCGACAATTCAAGCATACAATCTAGAAATTTTAGTGAGGCATGGGTAATTATGAGTAATTAACTCATAAGCAACAATATGCTCTCTGCCTCAGCACCAAAATAATACAATTGAAGAGATAAGGCACCTGTTGGGATCTTACAGAGAATCCACATTGGCTCAAAGCAGTAAAAGTTCAGTACAAGCTATCAGTTTAAGACTGCATTTATCTCTGCAGCATCCAAACCAGAAACACGATGCACCGCTAATTATAAATGACCTAACTCCTGAGTTAGAAAATAAAATTGCATAATACAAGCATGAGAATTTGTAAAACTGCTTACTCAAAGATAATCAGAAATCACCAATTGATACTAGTGGCAAAAATAAGGTGATCTTCACAAAGGAGTGTATCGCACTAACTTCACCAAATGCAACTCCAACTTAATAATCAAACCACAAAGAGCTTACAAGTTTTTCACTCAAGCATGACCTCCCATGTAAACAAACTGCAGATCTCAAAGGGATAGATTTACATCCACAAAGAGGTGAAACAATTCAATGGAGCTATAAAACAAAATCTAATATTTAATAATCTGCCCAAAAATAACATCAAAGATGATTTACTTTTATTATATTTGTAGACAAAATAGGATGTCAATAATTGAGGGGTCAGTCTAAGAATCCTAAGAATTAATTTTCTTCTTCCCCCTTCTCTTTGATGCCTCCATGAGTTTGCCCCAAGAGGGAAAAAGAAGGATCATTTGAAGTAGAAACTTTGCAGAAACAACAATCTACAAAAGGCTCGTTTTACTTTTTTGATCCACTCTTCCATTCTAACAATCAACATAACAGTTCTGTAGTAACTTTCCCTAAACAGTAAGGACCTTTTCACTTGCACATAGAAGGCATCAAAATTCTGGAAATGAAAAAAGATCTATTACTAACTACAAATATAGCCTTAAATTCAAGCTAAGGAGATGAACTGTAGAAACTACAGTTCAATCTTGGTCATCCAACAAAGTAAAAAAAACTGAGTAAAAAGGGTGTCTTTTTCAAGTGGTAAAAACAGAATTCAAGCTGGAAAAATCCAAGGTTATGCAACAAAGTTGAAAAAAAATGGTGTCTTTTTGCAGTGGTGAAAACAGAATTCAAGCTTGAAAATCCAAGAAACAACACAAGTGTAAAAAGGGTGTCTGTTTCAAGTGGTAAAAACATAATCCAAGATTATGAAAGGAAACAAACAAAATAAGTATAAAAAAGGTGTCTTTTTACAAAATTGAAGCTTGAAAATCCAAGATGATTCAACAAAATCAATAAAAGGGTGTGTCTTAAAAACCTTGATAAGAACACTTCTTAAGCATTTTTTCAAGAATCTTCAACCAAGTAGGATCATCATCAACAACAAGAACCCTTAAACCAGCTGGAAAAGTATCAGTTCTTGGAGAAGAAAACCCAGCACTGGTTTTACTATTCTCCATCATAAAAACAGCCAGATTCTTGGGGAAGACAGGAGTAGATCTTATTAATAATAAGTATATATATATATAAATAAATAGGAATAAACAGAAGTTATAAACTTATCAACTCTGTTTTTTTGTTTTGGGGTTTTTATGTGTGATTTGTATGAGAGAGAGTGAGAGGGACACACTGAAAGAAATAAAAAAGGTTTTAAAAAGGAGGATAGATG